CTCTTGGAGACTCAGTCCTGGCTGGCAGGTAAGAAATGGTGAGGTACACCAATGTTTTCCTGGTTAGTGCTGCAGTTTGCATGCAGATTCTTTAAAATTGTGATGGTAGCAGTAATGTCCTTGTGCTGTCCACCAGAGCCTTGCATGATAATTGTGTTTATCACTTGCTTTTAAGTCTAGATCAAATACCAGACTACTCTCTGAGGCAGAGATGTATTGCAGTCTCTCTGTAGGTAGAGACTATCTATCTAAAGAATAAAGTGAGAGCTGCCTATGGCGCTTTCAAGTATGACTGTCCTCACCTTACAGAGGGAAGCAGTTGCTAACTTAAAAATCCCAAAATGAAGAATATGCCCTCTTTCTCTGTCTAAGCCTCCAACCACTCCTCTCGTGGCACTGCAGAAGGCAATGTCACATTTCACATTACATCCAGGCATTGAGTTTGAACAGCAGTAATACATAAGGCTTTGTATGGCCCTTTTATACTGTATGCCTAGAGGATGGGTTTCATTAGTGCTAGGAAAGAGGAAGAACAACAGCATAACCCTATCATCTAACTTCCTATTGCTACTGGAAAGAGCAACCTATAACACAGCAAATTACTTAGCTTGTATTGAGGGAAGATGCATTGTGTGCAGAGTACAGTTGTTATGGGTTCTAGTAGGCTGGGACTACAGAAGTCAGTGGTTGAGTATCACAGTGTGCTGGAAGTAGAAGAGGAAATAGTGCTGTGTGCTTTGTGCCTCTGAAGCCTCTGCTGTGTGCTGAGCGGAGCTTGTGTGTCTCCCAGGGTTGGTTTCCTTCACCAGTCTTACTCTTGGTGAGTTGGCTTCCCACAGGGAGCAGGCAGGAAGTGACATTGACACAGCCGGCCTCTGATCCCTGCAGGTTTTGGAGCTCTGTGCACTTTAAAAGGAAGAGAGCTGCCCTTTGGGGCCAAAAACTTTACTTTTCCCATGACATGGTGTGCTCTGAGGAATCTGCTTCTTTTTTGCCATTAGTAAGTAAAGCCTTTCCAGGAATGTTTTGAATGTCTTTTCAGCATGAAGGTCTGTGTAGTCTGTTTTTAATGAGTTATTTTTGGCAGGAGGACAACTGAGGTAGTAGCATCTTTTTATGCCTGTAGATAGTGTAATAGCCACCTCTCTTCACGTAGTGCTATTGTGTGAAAATTGTGGATTAGATCCTGGTGAGAATGACAACAGGATAAGATCACAGTTGTCTGTTTATAGTACAGAAGGGGAAATTGTTGTAGGAGCCATTCAGAAACCTTCAGCAATACAACTCAGCTCCACTTCTACTCAGATACTATTTAAGTGCAATTTAAAACTTACATATCCTTTTAGAGTGGCATCCTGAAATTCAAAAGCCTCTTGGGCTCTGCCTTGGCTGTTTGTAGCTGTTTGGTAAAACAACTATTACAGGGAGGTGCCAGACTCGCCCTTGCTGCTCCAGCAGGTGAGGTCAGTCACTAGTGACCTGTTTTTGTGATGTAATCATGGTTTCAAGCTAGCAGGCTTGCTGATGCTTCATGGCTCTTCCAGACAAGGCTTGCAAGAAGAGGTGACGTCTGTTATATCTGCTGTAGCTGGGAAAAATGACAAGCTATCACAGACGCCAGCCTTACACAACGTGTAACCGCCAGGAGAATTCACCGTGTCTCCTGCTATTGCTAAAGCACAAACAGGGACAATGAGCTAGCAAATATTATCCATGAAGCATTTACCAGACATCTACAATTCTGTTTCAGTTTGTTACTACATCACAGGCTGCACAAGTTGCTGTAGTTCATAGTGTGTCTATGAATGACTGCTCCTGCTCTTTAGACTTTGGGCTGGAACTAAAACTGTTCACCATTGGTTTTTTTTACACCACACCATAAACGCTTTCTATCTATCTCAGTTGCTGTCTTGGGACTATCATCTACTTAACAGGTGCTTTGGGACATTTCGGTGGAAGAGAGAGAGAGAGAGAGAGAGCCTAAGATCTACCTTGTACTTGTCTGTCATTGCCCTTAATGTTATGCTGGATATACTGTTCAGTAGCTTAGTCTTTCTCAGGGTGGAGGGAGGAAAATTAAGCATTTCTAGGAACCAATTCCTTTTAATTCCTCAGCAGCTGCCTTTGTGGGACTTTCCCACCCCTTGCAAATATGGTAGAGCTATGTCATAGGTAAGTTTGTTTTACGTAAGGCTCTGAATGAATTCTAGTGCCCTGTGCCTCCCTTTCATTGGAGTCAATTCAAGGTCCATGCTCGAGCAATTAGACACAGTGCCTATCCCAGGCTGTAAGCTTATGAGTTTGTACTAACATGTCTTGTAGCCTCCCACTCTTTTGCTTTCTGTAGAGGGAGTTTGGAAACACCATAGCGAAGCTCTCCTTGAGTTTATAAATAGCCCTACTCCATCTGAATGAGTCATGTGTTTGGGCTGACAGTGCTGGGCTCTGAGCACACTGCCTGTGCGTACAGGATATCCTTACACAGGCTCTCTGCTCTTCCAGGCTCCCCATGCGCCAACATCCTGAGTGCATCCTGGTTTTACTTTGCAGGCCCATTAAGGGCCCCTGAAATAACAGCTGCTGGAGCAGCTTCATGCCTAGCATAAGGCAAAAGCTTTCCCTTACATGCTGCGTAAAGTGTGAAAGAGCTACTAGTTTATTAGACTACATCTGTAAGAATTGATAATGTGCTGAAATTCAGGGGCTGCCTCTTTCTTGCCTCTCTTTCAAGGGCACTGTGACTGCAGGGGGTGGGAGTCAGAAGGGGACAACACTGAGCACTTGTTTATATTGCAGGAATCAGCAAAGTGCAGACAGACTTTTGAGCAAGTGGATTTCTAATTGCAAACTGCATTCATGCTAGTAGATCAGCTGTAGCGAGGTTATACACATCTCAAGTACACAAGCGTGCACTTTGGCATGGAAGTTGTTCAACTGACTGCAAGGTTAGACAGTCCCTGTAAGTGTTGCAGCCCACAGACTACTTGCTTCTGCTACAAGAATAAACTGAGCATTGCCATGTGTGACAGTCACGGCTTACCTAAACTCACGCAGCTCAGGCCATCTTCCAGATAATCAAGTTTGTGCCGCTTTACCTTCGGATCCAAAACATTCCTGCACATGCTGAGGTCCAGCCCAGGCTTAGTTCTTTTTGCTGTTGCATTTAGTACTATTTTGTGATGGTCAGTATAACAATACAGAAGTATTAGATGAAGTGCAGTTTTTCCCCTTCTTCCAAATAATAGTGTCTTCCTCTTTTACAGATGTGATAGAGAAAGACCCAGATGGGGACTGCAGGAGACTGGCCTTGCAGAACTTGCTACTAATGGAGAACCTGAAAAAGAAACTCGAAACTATCCCTTCCTAATTGAAGGGTAAAAGAAATGACCTCTACCTCATACGCTTGCCAGCTGGATGCTTGTAGGCACTGCTGGGGCCTCTTCAACAGTCACCTGGCTGGACAAGAGGAAGAAGGGGGAAGGGTGCAGAGCTGAAAGCCAGAGAACCTGACTTGACATCTGGACTTTGTAGTGGAGGCCAATTTAGTGAGCTATTGCTATCCGGTACGGAGTGTACAGATGCAGGAAGGTAGACTAGCACTGCCATCCTCTCCACACCTCCCCCAGCCCCCCACCCCTAGCTATTTATAACCTTGGCAGGTTTGAGTGCTCTGGCTAAAAATACAGAGAAGATCTCATAGCGGCCTTCTTGTCAGAAAAACAGGAGTGCTGGAACCAGCAACTTAGCTCCTGTGGCAGGGCTAAGTCTATGTTATGCCCATAACAAAGGCTCCTGTGTCTTCTAGCACATGTTCTAGTAATGTCTGCAGCATTTGTTCAAAGGGGTGGCATATTACAGGGAATGATACCACTGATGAGATCTGTGCACTGAATAGCTACAGTGCAGGTCTGAAAATGTGCCAAACCTTAAAGGAGGAAAAAATTTCTAGAGCTGTGCTGTGTTTAGGAGGAAATAAAGCAGGAATTTTCTCTTTGTATAATCTCAGTACCAAAAGAAGTCTATATTAAAGGGTAACTAATGGCCAGTTTCTGGTCTTAATCTCCCCCTAGAAAGCACAGAATTTAAATAACTTCATATTTGCCTCAAGTTTTGAAGCAAATCACAAAACAGGAGGGAAAAAAAAAAAAAACCACTGTGTGTCTATGCAGAAGAGTGGGTTAGTACAAAATGTGTGTGCATGGCTCTTTGTAAATACAATTTCTTTCATGTGACAGGATAACAGGCTTAAAGCAACCACGATTTTTTTTGCTCACCTTTATGTTGGGCTTCACTACCCATTTATGGCTAGTCCTGCTTCTGCCAGAGAAGAAATTTGCATCCTAAAATATGACTAGTACAGTGCAGCCTGGCATAACTGGTGTTTGGAAAGGAAGTTTCACAGTGAGTAATTTTTTTTTAAGCAAATAATGTGGAGGTCCTAGATGACCACTTGATGCTCAAATACAAAAGCTTTCGGATGGGGAAGTCTTCCTCCTGCAGTAGGTGAGGAGTATGACTTTTACCCAAGTTCATACTCAAAGGGGACAGAGATTGTTTTCAGAAGTTCTGACTTCTAAGGCAAGACAAATATCTTAGCACATTAGCAGATCAAAGTTGTACTCAAAAATTTTGTCAACCCCGGCGCTTCCACTTCAGTTGCAAAACGCTTCTCTATACTCAGACAAGGCCTGAAGTTACAATACGCAGTTTTCATTCTTTTTCTTTTTCCCTCAAATTTATTCAAATACTAAAAACAGCTTCAAAACAGGCTATATACATTTGGGTTTTTGTATTTAGTGTTCAAAATAGTATATGACTGTTGCTGTACAGACAAGCATATATAATAAATTTTTTGGTAAGAACCAAAAGCTTGCTGCAGCAGTGAGTTGATTTGATGTATGACCCCCTAATGAGGATAGAAGAAATGACCTAGTGTTAAAGTCAGTTTTGCCTTGGTAAGTATAAGTTGTCAGGAGTCCTCCACTTCATCAGCCACTTCTTCTTCCACCTCCTTGTTCTCCATACTGCTATGCCGAATTTGCTCTGGAACCAGGTTTCGGCTTAAGGGAACACCTACTCCTCGGTGAACTGCATCAATGGTCTGCTGAGTCACATAGTAGGTCAGGTTCACACCTGGAATTCTTTTCCGCATCTCTTCCAGATACCGGTAAGCCTAAAGTAACGCACAGAGATCACTGTTACAGAGAGTGTATAGTCTTTACTCCAGTTCCAGCAAAAGGATGAAAAGCAGGCACCGTGGATGACTCGAGTTCAGTGGTGGAAGGGTGCGAATGCTAAGCCACAAGTCTTAGCCGTTGCTAACAAAATTACCTTTCTTACTGATTTGTGTGACTTCTAGGTTTTTTCATTTAAAAAAGAACCGGGGTCTTGAGTGCTAGCTTTACGTTCTCCTGATAGCTGAAGCGTCATCACATACTACATAGGTGATACATATCACAAAAAACAACACATACTACAAGTAAGGTTAATCGGCACGGTTGGAGAATCTAGTGCTTCACAGCAGCCTGTTTCATAATAGCAGCAGGTTATGTTTTAGTCCAAATCCTTTGTGTGTGGCACTTCCTGCTCTGAAGAAGTGACTCACCATTTCCTCAAATGATTGCAATTTTATAAGTTTCTTTTTTTCTTCTTTGGCCAGGTGGCAAATGAAATACAGTGTAATTGCTGAGAAATGCACCCAGTTCTGTTCTTGTCTCTATTAATAGGAAATGTTTAAGGCGCCACCGCTGTTTGTTATGCTCCATATACTGTGAGCTTTCTTTTTCTCTTCAATGCCATGAAATTAAAAATACACTAATGCAGAGATAGGTCCTTAAGTATACCTTACCCTGCCAAGCAGTGTAGCAGTTTAGGTTCTCTACTGTGGAACATCTTTCTGCATGATAAGCACGCTATGCCAAGCTGCATCGATGTGTATAAAGTACAGGCCCTTTGGACTGGAAGCTTTCGTTGGCTTGTGCTATGAATTAACTTACCGTATGGAATTCTTCCACCTGCAAATAATGTTCAACCAGGAATCCCAAGACATCACCACGACGGATGGTATTGTCAAGGTCTTGTTCATCTAGGAGTTGTTCACACTGTCTGACCGCTTCCTTGGGGTCTTCAGAGCGAATTCTGGCAAAAGAGTAAAATGAAACTATTGACAGCCTGTGGGAGAGCATTCAGCTTCTCAGGTGAAGTGCATGGAAAATTTTTTTACTATGTATGCTTCATCATCACCTTTCTGGAATGTTAGTGGACAGAGGATGGCTACGCTTTCCCAAATCAACAGAAGTACTCGTATTTAAGGTTACCTTTTGGCCTAGAATGTCAGTAATACTTTTAAAAACACAGATGGTTTCCATACTACAACAATCTAACAACAGCTTTTAGAAACAAGTCTTTTCCATATTACTTATTAAACTGTGGGTACTAATCTAGGCAACTTTTCCTCCTGGATGCTATTTTTAATGAGTCTACATATTCTGGAATACTGCAAATCACCTCCGAGCATGGATGAATCGCTTGATCAGGGCCATCTTGCTTTGCACAAGTGCTATTTTGCTTTCCTGTTCCAGAGGGCTTCTAGTCTTTGCTTTTGAAAGGCACTTATATGCTTCTGTTAGTGCTCCTTGTGCTTTCTCATAGTTCTGATATTCATCGATTTCTACCTGCAAGACGACAAATGAGATGAGTATCCTGATCCCAGAGCTAACACACTAAAACACCCTTAAGAATCACAGGAGGGGAATGTACCTGAGCACAAGCATCATAAAAACCTGCCAACAGGTCAAGGGCCCTTCCTTTGGTATAGAAGCTAATGATATTCTTCATAATCTCTGGATCCTTGCGCCAGTCCAGTGACTGTAGATAGTTGGCGGCCATGATATAAATCTCCCTCTGTCTGGAGACTCCAGCAAAAAATACAATTTTCTCTGTGTCTCCAGATTTCAGCAGTGCTCTCATAGCCTAGCAATGGGAAGAGAAAAAATATATATACCATTATGAATACAAAAGCACAGTTCTATATATATATATATTTTTTGTTGTTGTTCTACAAAAACACTGTAGCGTATGGAGATTGTCCCAAGATTTACTTCTCAAAATACTCTTTTGTTGCAAAAAAATCTTCTAAAGCTAAGATGCTCAGCCTCTTTTTTTCTGCTTATTCAGACTGACCTTTAACTTGTTTCCTGCTTGAGTGTATTTCTTGGTTGCCATGTGGTAATTGCCTTGTCTCATGCAGCAATCGGCAATTTGTTCCAACAGTTCTCTCCGAGACTCCTCAGAGACATCCTTGGAGTCCTTAGCGATTGTCATCTTCTCAGCCATCTCCTCTGTGATGGTCAGATTCTGCTTCAGGCAGACTTGCAGGGCTTCATGGTACTAATGGAAGTGAGAAAGCAATGAGCTGTTGCAAACTTGTGGTGTAACCTACAGAAATACTAGCTGTGTAACAGCACAAATTCTAGCAGAATCAACGTGGTTAAAGAAAGATGTGGATTCTCTGTCAAGAACACTGTGTGGTGAAGGGCCCTGACATCAGTTCACTTTGAAGTATAGACTATCCTCGCTTTGTTCAATAAGAACGCAGTTGTTAAATTTGGACCGTTTCTCACCTGTTTTCTTAGAGGATGTTATTGTGGCACTAAAGATTTACCCACTTTGTCTCTCTGAATGTGACATTTTCAGAGACGTACAAGGCAGATTTATTAGGCATGGTTACTTATAGTCAGGTTTTCAGTAAATGCAAATAGACTAAAGGCAGGTATCTAAAAGATTTTGTTTTTTAAGTTTTGCTCTAGAAACAAATTATAAGTAGGCTATACAATAGCTATTTGCTTTTAACGCAGAAAATGGCTACTATACCCTTGTTAGCCATGGAAGAAAGGAAGATACAGGCACTCATGAAAAAAGGGGTGGTTATAGAACTGCTTTTGCACTCAGCTTTTTGGTAGGGCTGAGCAGGCAGCACAATAAGGAGGGCAAGGCAGAAATATGTGAAAGTTTAGGCAAGAAAGGAAGAGCCTTAACTACACGGATGTTGTGACAGGGTGGACAGCACTGATTTTTGACTGACGTTATTACAATTTCCCCCTCTCCAAATATGTGAGTTTAGAGAGTAGAAAGATTTTTTTTTTTTTCCTAACAAAACAAAGTAATGGTTTTAGGGCAGAAATAAGACACAAAGTCAGGGATTCGTTTCTAGAGTTGAGCCAGTGGGACACCACTATGTGAGCCATCACTTTGAGAGGAAACTTTAAAGCTTAAAAATGTCATCGCATATCTGTTTCACAACGAAGACAGATAGACCTATGTGCATGCAGATACTCCCCTGCTGTGCCCCTCTCTACCTATGTATAGAGGGACCACGAAGCAAGAGCTTACCTTTTTGGCTGTTAGCAACAACTCTATTGCCTTCTCATACTGGGCATGCTCAATAAAAAAATCGGAACAGCGGGCTAGCAGAGCTGGGTCTGATTTCTCATCCAGGTCTTCAGCAATTAGCTGTAGGGCCCCAAACTGCTCTGTGGCAAAGGCAAGCTCCAGTGCTTTGGAGAAGTGTCCTGCCTGCAAAGTTAAGGGTGACTCTTTAAAGATTAGAGTAAGAACTGCAGAATCAGTTTACAGGATACCCTAGAGAATTAAGAGCCCACCAGGATTTATGACTGATGAATAGCATATTAGTCAAATCTACAGTTTATTCAATGCTCCTCTACTGCAGTAACTGCTTGAATTTAAAATTAGATCTTTTTATTAAGTCATTTACCTTGTGGTACAACATGACAGCTCTGTCCATTTGCTCTGCCTTTTCCTCATAATAGCAGGCTGCCTCTATCATGTCTTCTGGAGAGCTGAGAAGAGCCAGGTTCATCAGCTGATCATCTAAATTATTCTCCTATTCGAAAGCAAAGATTTCGCTCTAGGTATGCAGCAAACAGATATCACAATTCTCTCAAGCCTCTGGCTTTACACTGTCGCACAGTAGCCCATCAAGCACCTTCTATGTAAAATCCATAGCAACCAAAATAACTTTGAGCTGGAAACCTGGATAATTTGTTTGAGGCAGTTTTCTGTTGAGATGTATGACAAGGAAATGATCTCTCTGCTAAAACCATCCCTTTATTGACATATCTCTTGTAAAAGATGTAGGGAGAAACCAGGAGCATCTTCACAGCTGGGCTGTATGAGCAAGTCATGTCTCACACTTGAATCCATTTCATTCTATATGCTACCTAAAGACAGAGCCCTACTTCGTTTTTGGACATAAGTGTACATCTTCCCATACCTTACACAGGCGAATGGCATTGTTAAATGCCTGGGCCCTGGTGTAGAAATGGACAGCCTGCTTGATTTCATCCTGGCTCTCATACTGGCGGGCCAAGTGATATGATGCTGCCCAATTCCCTGTTTCATTCGCTATTTCAGCAGCCTGAAAGGAAAATCATATATCTTTACTTTGTGCCCGTGCTCATCCTGGGAATGAGAATTCACTGGAAGCAGAGGGGAGCAAGGGTGCCTTACCTTCTGAATGTTGCCCTGAAAGCAGTGGACACGGACTAAGGAAAAATAATCCTGGGCCAGTTCATAGTACTTGAGCGCAGATTCCATATCTGACTGGCTCTCCAGATACTGTGCCCACCACTTCCAGAGGTTCCTAGAAAAGCAACAAAATTAACTGCAGTAACAAAAATTACCAGAGCAATGGATTTCTCATTTTTGGAGATCTTAAGACTAGATGCATTTTTTGGAACGTGGACAAGCTTTACTCAAACTCGAGAGTGACGTTCAAAGGTTTGCACTCCAAAGGAGTTCAGGCTAGGTATCTAGGGTGGCAGTTCTCAAATGAGATGCAGCAGGTATCCTGGAAAGCTGTAGGAGGGTCATAACGGATAAGGCAGGGGTTGAACTTAAGAGGATTCATATTACTCCTTCTCTGCTCTCTTCACAAAATGCATATCATACCTGGAAGTCCCATTCAGGAGAAGGAATGAGCATAGCACTCACTTGTCTTTCATCTTGTTGACATAGTTCTCCAGGGCTTGTAAGTCTTCAGAGAGCATTCGGGGCACCTCAAACCGGTGTGTGTCTGACTTCTCATAACTGTATAGAAAAAGGACATATTAAATGTGAAATGACTACCTTAAGAGAAGTATCTCACTTCCTATGTAAATACATTTAATGTTGTTTGTCAGCTGTAGCATGACAACCCTGACGTCAGTATTTCATTTGTAAAACCAGCACCATCAAAAATGAAAGGTGCAAATGAAAATGAAAGATGCAATGCTCCTGCAAGGCACCTGGAATTAGGAAGGCAATGTGATCACAGAATTGTAAATATTTTAATACAAAGTGCCAGTGATGCTCCAAGCGTATATCCCAGAAAGATTCTCAAACATTAACCACATTCTCTTGAAGCTGTTTGAAAGGGCAGCAAAAATTCTGGGCTCTTCATCTTGCTTAGTCTTTCTACCATTCAATGCAATTTCAGTCTCGTGTCCACTCCTGGGAGATCACCGCACTTATGCAGCCATCTCCTGCTACAGTCTTTGCTCACCTCCCTGCAACAACCTGTATCATCTCAAGGGTCTGTTGGATTACACCAGAACTTGGCTTTGCTTTTGAAGGGAAGTGATCTTATTAGGTAGTGTAAGACTCCATCATACAGAAAGCAAGATTTTAAACAAGAACAACACATCATTAAAAAAAATCACCTCCACTAACTTCTCTACGAACCTGTCAGTCACAGGAGATGACTGGAGGCTGTGCGCACCAGAAGCACCCAAGTCAGACTAAGTTCTGCCATACCAGTTGTGCCTGGGACTCTCGAGAGCAGTAAATAACAAATGGTTTTGTCATGGAAAAGGAAGGAAAAGGGCAGTGGTCTTACAGAGACAAGTACAGGATCAGATATTATTGGAGTTCCAGTAGAGCAAGTAGCCGCTGAGAAGACACTTAACCTTTCTGACTCTCAGTTTTATTAGGAAGCTTATTGTAACAATGCTTTCACTCCCTGAGATAGAAAGCACCAGAAACAGGAAAATACTTTAATTAATTATTAGTAGACATCAACAGACACCCTCCTTCATCTGCCTCTAGTCTTCACAGAAACACAAGGCTCCAAATTCCCTGTATACGTAATGGTGCCATAGGCTGGCACTTACTGGGTGAGTGCGAGACCATGCTCTCCAGTTGCCTCCAGGTGCTTGGCATAGTTGTAGTAAGTGGTGCGTAGGTGAACCCGGTCATGCAGTTCAGCTGTTTCGATGGCTTTCTGCCACTGGTTTGAGGCTTGATAGAACTTGTTCAGGAGGTCATAGCGTTTGCAAGACTTGTATAGTCGCTCCGCATCCTCCTGAAGGGAAAGCATACAAAGACTACATGAGCTCCAGTGGGAGTTTCATAGGTGTCCGTCCAAGCAGTAATTCACCATAGACACTGTACTTCTGAGTATTTAGTTAGTACAAGTCATTGTAATGCATCTAAAGTAGCAATAATTCAGGTGGGGGGGGGGCGTTAACAGACTAAATACACATAGCCTGGAATAGCATGTTACTGGGAAACAGGATGTTTATGTCAAAACAAGGAAAGCACTCAGATCCTGGCATTTACTGTGCAAGATCAACTGGGTGTGACACGAGCAGCTATCAACAGTTAAACACCCTGATCAGGATGTCAAACCATTTCAGAAAGGGAAAGATAGGCTCATGTGGGGCTACAGTTAACGGCCACGCTGCCTACCCAAGGGGTAAAGTCTGTCAACCCAGGAGAAGGTCCTGGGTAGTAGGATCCTTGGCAAGAAGGTATTAAGGGGGCCAGGGGAAACCTGTGACCTCAGTGCAGGTCTCAGAGGTAGGAATTCTGTTCTTGGCCAACCGACAGCCATTCCTGGGGAAAAATGCTATTAATTTCAGACAGAATTAGAATGAGAGGATTTTGCCTATGCTGATGCAAGGGTGAGCTAATTTGGAACTAGTATTTTTACACTTTGAGAGGTACTTGTGTGGAAGAAGCATTTTCCTGCCCCACCCAACTGCTGTCCAGCTGAACACTATATTTAGTAAATGCAGATTATCTGTCCAAGATAGAAAAATTGTTTCTGTGTCTTATTGTTTCAAAGTCAAAAAACTATAGAAATTAGAGATGGAATATGCCTGCACTACGATTCTATTACCGTAGGAGAGGAAAAAAAGCAACAAAACACTAGTTTTGCTAGAGTTCCACTCCCTCTCTCCAGGTAGATTTTTAATGTCCAAGAAAAGGAGTGCTACCACTTTTCAGCCTTATAACTTTCTCTATCAGGAAGCTTTTCCAAATATTTAGTTTGAATTTTCCTTTTTTTCCTTCACTTTAATTCAGAATAGTTCCTCTACCTCTCTAGCATCTATACTGTTAAAATAGTTGTAGTTTGCTAAACACCTTTTTGAGCCAAATTCTAGCTATCTGGCTGTTTTAAAGATTTCCTTGTTCATGAAATCTTTCCAAGAGCTTAACAATTTGCACTGATTTCCTCTGAACTTCTTCCAGTTCATAAACATTTTTTCTGGTAATGAAGGCCTATCTTAAGGGTTGAAGGCAATGTTCCAGCAGCAGCTGCGACAAACGCATAGACAGATCTGTCATACCAAAGCTCCGGGATGTGATGTCTCTGCAAACACAGCCCCAGACAGATCTGGCCATTTTTACTGTCAAATCACATTGCCAATTTGTGTCTAATTTATGGTGTCCTAAGAACTGTGGGATATTTCATCAATTCTGCTTTCCCAGTTTCTCCGTCCCCCGAACGTTTGGCCTGGATGTACTATCTTTTGTTGTTCCCAGACTAAAATCTCTTCAGTTTTTCTTACAGATCACTGATGAAGATGATATTAAGTAAAGGCTAACGTAGTAAAATACATGCTTTTATCATTCATCTGTCTTGACAGTGCTCCAGTCAGTTTTCAATCCACAAAATAATGCCAGTGTCACATCCATCAGAGATCTCAAGTTTATTGGTAAAGTACAGTAATCAAAAGGAGTGGATTCAGACTAAAATAAAGACAGGTAGAAAAGACAAGTTCCATTTTGGTATGCATTCACCGCACGGTCCGACTCTAGATATGGGCACAATGGAGAGTTATCCAGCGCAGTGGCCTACGGGGAGATGGCAGAACAGCCTGATTGCAAACTTTGTGCTAGAATCTGGTCAAGCTCCAATATCTGCTACTGCTAGCACTAGGGGAAAAAAACAGCATGGAAATCTGGGCGAGTGTAGG